CATCCATCCATCCATCCATCCATCCATCCATCGCTCACACTGACCCTGGTTCTGCTGGAGATTTCTTCCTGCTAAAAGGAGGTTTTCCTCTCCACTGTCACTACAAGCATTCTTGGTCTGATCTGATCAGCTCCATGCTGCCTGGACGTCCTTGTTCATCCGATCAGCCCATCGGACTCAAAGTGTAACTAATAATCCTTCCTTTTATTCACTGTTTCTACCAACTATATCTAATTTTCCACTTCATTCACCTTGATTAAACTACTTTTTTTTCTCCTCCCGCTTGGCTGTGGTTGCTATTGGTAACCATTAAATAACATCGAACATCTGGCTCATTTAAAGACAGTGATTTAATGAAACATTGATGGTAAAATATGGCCTTGAATGGGGCTCAAGATGAGGTAGAGCCTTAGAAGCAAACATTGAGGCACAGCTGGGATGGAAGGAAAACTGCTTGTTTTTGTTGTTTTCTTAAATCGGCAAGAATGGCAGATTTATACGTAAAATAACTATTAGTTAAAAACAATATAAAGAGGACAGTGCAGTGTGTACCCATGTTGGAGAGGAACTCTGTGGCGTCTTGAGCGTACCTCAGCTCATCAGACGTCTTTTCCTTCAGGAAGGGAAACCTGAGCAGAAACCAGAGAGAAATGCTACCGATGCAGAAACTGTTCAAACTTTAAATCGACAAGTTTCTCACCTGCAGAGTTTTAGAGCTTCACACAGAACTGATGCATATTGGGGCTGATCGCTCACTTTCTCAGCACAGATGTTGAGTATCTGGGATATATCTGTGAGGTCCCTCAAAAGCTTCACTTACTTTAAGAAGCTTTAACGTACAGAAAAGGCATATTTTTAATTCGTTTTTAGAAATAGTTGAAGTGAAGTTTATTAAAAAAAAAAGAAAAAACATCAATCCGAATAAAATATTAACTTTAGGCTTATTTCAAACACTTAAGAAACATCCAAGAATTTTATATCCGAAGAAAATCTGATGACAAGGATACGAAGCCTGACTGGTTTCTCTTCAGCAGTTTCTTCAGGACGAACAGGTGCCTCTCCCTCAGGTTCGACTATAAAAGAAGAAAAAAAAGACGGTTAATCGAAGCAAACCGAACTTCAAAATTAGAAAAAAAAGTCAGTTTTACCCACCGTCAGTGGATCCTCAAGAAGACGGATCACCTTAATGAGGTCAAACTTTTTAGGACTGGGCTGCAGAAATGTCAGGAGTTGAACATTATTACTCTGTAAGGCTTATTGGACTTTCTGGACTAAAAACCATTACAGAACTTTGCTGATAGAGAACATTAGGCAAGGCAAGTGTTAGCGTAGCACATTTCAGAAGCAAGACAATTCAAACTGCTTTACATTAAAAAAAAAAGATAGAAAAGTA